GACACGGAATATCAACTCACGGCTCGTCGATAAGCCCATGCTTCGGATCGCATTCGTGTGCACGACACATCGTCGTCGATGCGTTCATCGAATAACGTTTCACGGATCGATGATGGTTCGTTGGGTTCGAGTGGAAGAAGATAGACGGATTATTATCTCGTGTCTCGCGAACAACACGATAATTGAATATTTTTCGAACGTACGTAGTCATTTTTCAGCTTCGAATGATGGTATGACCACCTTGGTAATTTTAAATCGCGGACCAATAGCAAACGACGTAGATACAACGATCCGAAGCGGAATGGAGATGAAGAAGAGACCGTGTACGAAAACGAAAACAAACGACACTGGACAAGAGAATGAGAGTAGGGGAGAGAAAAGGGGAGAATAGGGTTTAGGAAGAAACGGATCGGTCTGCGGCGTTGGCGGTCCGACGCGGTTGAAGAAGACTGAAAAGAACGAAAGGGAAAAGGACAGCGTCGAGTTACGAGAGTCGAACCTATTTTCGGTCGGCGAAATGCAAGTAGAACGATAGTCCGGTGATGCATCGCGGCATATGGCGTAAATCAAGCAGCTGCGGCGACTGATTTCAGCGGTACCAACCCACGCTCGCATTATATCAGTCCGAGAGGCATATTTATTGCCGCAGGCCGCCTAGATTGGAACAAATACTGCGTTGCACCAGACCCATCCGTACCAGTGTACAGATAAGTATAGCTGAATTTTGTATTATTCGATGCAGCCGGTGATACACGGTTCTGGCCATTTCTGTCATGCCACGTTTTTTACACGGCTTTGCCACGTAAGCATGTTCCATCGGCATTTTTCAGACATTACTTTCAGACATATTGTACTTACGTTACGATGCAGTTATTAATCGATCGATCGTGTACATGCTGCTAGGGCTAAATCTTCCTACCACGTTATGACCCGGTGCGTACGTGCGCCATCTTTTCATTTCTAGCACTGGACACGACACATTGGTCGTGGTGCTAGGAGATTCATTGCTCAAACAGTCTAAAAGTCTTTGAGATCGTTCGTGTACTTTCTATCGCATCGCAAGTACAAGTCTTACGTACTCTGATATTCACCGAGTCACAGAAGAAAAAGTTCTCTCAACTGCGATTAAGCAACGACGTGAAATTCAATATTCTCGTTATTCTATTCTTCAGCCAACAATTCTTGAACTCAACATGCACTTCATCTCTTTCTGGAAATGAATCCGGTAACTTGCTACGTGCATTAAGAAAAATTGATCCATTAAACGGCCGAGAAGAGACAGATGCGAGTAACTACATAAATAAAGGAACATTAATAACTAAATCAATATGTGTGCTAGCGATCGCTAGCAAGCAGAAACTTTCACGTTAATAATATCGCAGCATTCCAGGAAGCTTTCTATGCGGAGCGAGACCCCTTTATCGAACAACATCAAAGAAACGTGAATATAACGAAGAATATGACGCGCTCGTGTAAGTTTCACGTACGACAAGGTCGTATTGATAATATAATGCGTGTGGACGCGATGCGATGCGATGCGATGCGATGCGATGCGAAGAAGAGCTGCATGGTACAAGGAAGTCGGGATTTGTGGTACCAAGAAGTGAGCCGTGATTGCCGTGGCCCTCGCTGCCACGTTCATTACCGATCGCGCCATTAATCTGGAACAGTCTGATGGCTCGCAGGCCAGTAAATATCTGAAACGATAACATCTGCGACTTAACATTCGTTCCACGGATCGCAGAGTGTGCCGGTCCTCGACTCTTCATACCAGCGGCAACTCATCCTCGTCGGTGATGAACCTCGCGAGAATCGTTCCCAGAACAGGATCTCTCTTACACGACTGATCCAGTTTTCATTGCACGTTTGCATGATGCGTTTCTTTTGACTAGAAGAATAATCTTTCACACACACACATACTAACATGTGCTATACTAACATGTCTCGTCGACTTTCCACGCCAATTTCTAGCAAACGCGACAAAAGTTTCAAAAACTCAAATCTGTTGTATTCTCTTCGTTTACACATGTTTACACCAACAAGTTTGTAGTCGTTCGCGTCGTAAAATAGGAAAAGGAAACGTCAAGCGAAACTGTCGTCGCTTAGTCTTGAGTCGTTCCAGTAATTAGATATCCCTGGAAATACGTCGAAGCCCGAACGGACTCGCGAGTACAAAGTACCATTCGTACCATTCGAGAATCAGTGATATTAGCTGACTGGAGACTGGAAAAGCGACATAGCCATGCCTACGAGACTCACCTGTTCCCCTCACTATGTCACGAAAATGTGTTTCAACATCGCGTAGAATAGTGCAACTGCGATTTATTCGATTTCGATAGAAGTCTGTAAAGTGAAATATTCAGAGTGAGAACGTTGATAAATTGATTTCGCACTTTCGACGTGAAAAATTCTTTTCGTTGCGAAGAAAACAAAAAAAAAAAAAAAAAAATTCTTCGACGCGTCGAAAAGAAAGAGCCAGAAAGATACCAGAAAGCAAGAACCACGCCGCCATTTTCTCTTCAACGCGAATGATCCGAGTCGAGGCTCTTATTCTACATTCTACGTATATTTAGGTCCACGCTAGCATTGTCTAGTCTCAAGCCGACTAGTTCGATGTTAGAAGAATGCAAGTACACAGTGCTGTGTGCAGATTGCATTAATATCTCAATGATGCTTGACTATTAAGGTATGAAATACGATCGTTGATCACGCATACGTTATGCGCTTAAGCTGTACTCGATCTGGCGCACCACCGCATAAAATTTCAGACAAGCGTGAGTTTGAAATTATCGTTGCGTTTATTGATTGATAGTCGCTTGTTGCAAAAATACACGTGTATTTTGCGCGTACAAAAATTTGTCGACACGAATTTCTTTCTGCGAGTATAACCTGTTCTATAATGTATATTTAACAATATGGTAAATAAGAATACGATGTGATCATCGTCAAAATTAAAAGGATCTCTCTCTCTCTCTCTCTCTCTCTCTCT